CAAAGAGAGAGATGAAATTTCTAGGAAAACAAACTGATGAGAGGGGGCTTGAAGAATTTGACACCCACTGCAAGGAACAGACGGAAACAGCGATTAATATATATAATGAGCATGGGTAAATATACAAATCAAATACGGTAACTCTATGAGGAATAATTTGTCTGCGAAGTTTACAATTACAGATTGGTACCATTGTTTGGAGTAAAGAGATTAGGCACGTGTAATATAATAAATTATAGAACAGGGATTGGGAGAGGTAATGAAAAAGACAAACAAAGTATAGGAGGGTGTCGAGAGCTATGATCGCCAACGTCTCGAAAGGAAACGGTATATAGAAGAATTTTTTTATAATGGTATTAATTATTCTAACGGTTTCTTTCATTCTTATTGTCGATGTATTTTTACAGAAAATCATTTATAATACATTTCTGTAAGAAAATCTCTAGGAAGTCACTTCATTTTTATATATCCTATTCTTACCTGCAAAATATACAGCTATTTAATACTAACCGAAAAATAGCCTACGTATATCAATGTAGTCTTTGTCATAATCAAGGTACACCACTTGGAACTTCATGGATTTGTCTCAACGGTACTCCCACTTTTAAATTTTCTCGGCTTATGGCCAAACAACATTTTTCGTACGATCATCGATGTTAAGCAGCGTCGAGCCTGATCAATACGTAAATGGGTGACCGCTTGGGGATACTATGTACTGTGGATGTGCGGGTGGTGTAATGTGTTATGGTTCGGAATTGTTAATCGGAGAGACGAATTTTAATTCCTGTTGTGCTCGTTATATTCACTCACGCGCAGATACCCTTTAATCCGTCTCATCTCCCCTAGCTATGGGTTAATTAGTAAAGTGGGTATCATTAAACCATTATTATCTCAGAAAAGATAGATAATCCGTAGAAAACGAATCAATCCCTTAATCTAAATTTTCTCTGCAATGACTTCTTTCAAAATCACAATCAGCAGACTCAGTGTTGCCCTTAATCTTTTTCCTGTTTCATAGTCTAAAATCTCAACGGCAATGTTACATTTTTTTTTGTCCCAGCCCGAAGAGACCTACTGTACAGGATGCGATGGGTAAATTGTCGACATTTTATATCTTTAATTAGGCGCATGCGCATTGTTTTTTTGGGGGGGGGTATTTTGTCGACTGTATAGTAGGGACAGTTGGGCACCTTCTGTAAAAAAAGAGCTACATGATGCAATTCACGCCACCAAAAATTTGGAAACGGCATGCTGTGCTACTTGGCATTTAGATAATTTCAGAATGTTTGTGTGTCAATTCAGTGCCGAGGATTCGGAAATAAATATATCCAGTCAACATCATGGTGTTCGGAGTGATCACTAGTGACGGCGACGTTATACCTCGATTCATCTTCCCACAGGTCCTCAGATTCAACACAGCGGCCTATATCAAGTGTCTTGAGGAGGTAGTGCTGCCCTGGATCAAGAGGGTGCCTTCTGGATCAAATGATGTCAAAAACTCGTTATGACAACAAAGATGAACTCTGCGCTCGCCAAATTAAACAAGAACTGCCAGAAAAGTTCCAGAAGATTCCGAAGTCGTCTGGAGGTTGTGGTTCAAGCCAATGGCGATTTTATTGAATAAATTTACTCTTTAGTATTTCAAGTTATTTTTGTGTAATTTTCTGTTAAAATTATATGTTATGTATTTTCATTTTTGTATAAATTAGACAAAAATGTATCCATCGCACCCTGTATTTGATGGTATAAAAACGAAAGGATATACTAAATGAATCCCCATTTCAGCAGTGCATATTCAGGGAAAATGTTTTTTTGTGTATTTAAGCTTGTAATTTCTAAGGGAAGCTGTCATTTTTTTTTAATCATTTCACCCCAAACAAGGCAATAAAACCATTAAGAGACAAGTAGTTACTGAGTGTGGTAGAATATAAGGAAAAACTTTTAACTATAGCGAATAAAAAGAACAAGAATTATGAAGACAGAAGATAATGATTGGTATATCATTTAAATTTTGAAGATCAAAGTTGACTGGAAAGCAAAAAAAAAAAAAAAATACGGAAGAGAGTTCCACATTTGAGAAGTGCGAGAGAAACACAGAACTTACTGTTACATCTAGTCATTCAAATGTTAAATGATGGGATCTTGTCGCCAAAGTACGAGTTTAGGTAACAATGTGGAAAGCTCATTAGGGATTAATGAAAACTAGAAAACATGAAAGCTATGTTTTGGGATGAAGCCAAGATACCAAGTCAAAATCAATGACATTGCTGATTCTTCTTTGTATTTTGTTAAGTATATATCAGAAGTATCAAATCGGAAACAGCAATATTCTCGAATGGTTTTAAATGTGTATGGTAGCTTCTGGCGATAAAAAAATATTAGCACGACAAAGTGAACCAACTTTTCTAGCAACAAACGCAGCAACTGATTCAATATAGACTTTCCTTCAAGTCAACGGAAAACGTTATATATATATATATATATATATATATATATATATTGAACAATACAAAATATTAAAAAATTAAAATCTTCAGACACACTGGGTTGTATATTAATATTCATTCGTTTTTATCATTATTTCATTTAGATTCCTCGACTAGTTTCTGCTTGCTGGTAGCAGTGAACTACAGAAATGAATGTCTTGATAGAAAAAATGGAGAAAATGAACTTTTGTCTGTAATTTTCATTTGTTTTTTTTTTTTTGTTTTTTTTTACATGAAATCAGTCTTGTGTTGGTCAAACAAAAGTTGTTATTTAAGATAAGAGCTGGATAGATTCATGCTTGAAAGTTGTCATTTATATATATATATATATATATATATATATATATATATATATATATATATATATATATATAAAAGAAATATGTTAAGTGGTTCCAACGAGAGAAAAGTATGTATATTAAAAAGAAGGGTGGTGCGCAAACGTTTTTGGTTGTAATGTGGATTTATTGAGAAAAATATTATACTTTGTTTTATAATTTCACGACACGTGTTTCTGGTCTGCAACCGTCAAAAATGATTTCTACAATTATTAAAAATAATTAATTTTTCTTCATGTTCAATGTGGAATATTCTCGATATGAGACATTCTGTTTGTGTGTTGGCAATCTGAATTTTCTTTCTAAATTGTCAATGAAAAATGAAGGGTCATAAAACAATTAAGGTTTGTCCAGCGAGTAGTTATCATTTAATCTTTTAATGTTTTAGTGACCTCTATGTGCTCTTGGATCAAATGCATATATACGAGGAAAAACTTATTTGACACGCATACACACACATCGCACACATACACACAATCCAACTGAACAACACATTTCCTCCCTACACACACACACACGTATTTGTTGTCAACATCCGCATATACATACATAAAGCAATATCATGTGTCTCCTGTATATGAGTGTGCGTCCATGTATGTGATGATTTGATCAGACAACAGAAATGTTTTTTGTTTTGTTTTTTTGTATCGACAAACACGAATTTTCTATAAACTTTTTTTTTCCTGTATAGATACGAGTAATTGTATTTGTAGATACGAGTTTAGACATCATTATAAAAAACTTTATAGACAAATTCAAACCCAAAAAAACATAATAAACCCCCAAAAAAAAAAAATTTATGCACACAAATGTAAGAAATACAATGATCAAATCGCTCACAGAAAACTTTTTATCACAACACATTTTCAAATGTGGACGCCGATATACACAAATACACTTTATAGACAAACGGGAAGACACGAGGAGATATATAAATGCTCACATACATGCACACACACACACGAGGATATATTATATGTATGTACACATATACATTTATGTATGTATATGCGGATGTTGACAACTTAAAAGTACGTGTGTGTGTGTGTGTGTGTGTGTGTGTGTGTGTGTGTGTGTATGTGTGTGTGTGTGTGTGTGTGTGTGTGCTGGTTCCATGTAGCTTGGGAATATATGTGTATATGTGTGTGTGTACTGACTACTTTTGGGGATAGTGTGTATGTGCGTATATGTGTGTATGTGTATAAGTACAAATAAGTTTACGAATTCCTCGTAGTAAGGAAATATACGCACGCATATATACACGCATGCTGACAGGAACACACCAAAATAGAAACAGATCCAAGAGCACATAGAGGTCACTAAAACATTAAAAGATTAAATGCCGATAACTACTCGCTGGACAAACCTTAATTGTTTTATGACCCTTCGCGCAGAACTCTTCATTGACAATTCTAGAAAGAAAATTCGGATTGCCAACACACAAACAGAATGTCTCATATCGAGAATATTCCACATTGAACATGAAGAAAATTAATTATTTTTAATAATATGTAGAAATCTCCACTTTCACCTGAAGACGGTTGCGAGACCAGAAACACGTGTCGTGAAATTATGTAAAAACAAAGTATAATATTTTTTTCTCAATAAATCCACATTACAACCAAAAACGTTTGCGGCACCCTTCTTTTTAATATATATATATATATATATATATATATATATATATATATATATATATATATATATATATATATATATTAAAAAAGCAGTAAGACAAGTAAAAATTGAAGGCTTTTCGAGATTTATTTCTGACGGACATAATCTTAACATAATTTTAACACAAGATATGCAGGTAAGACTGTGTTGATGGCAGATTTACAAAGAACACAAGAAGACAAACAGTAACGAAAAGCAAGAACTGTGATCTTTAAAGTGATATCAAGCGTGGTTATCAGCAAAAGAGGCATTCCAAGATGTGAGTTACATATTAGAGATGTCAAAACCAAGCGGTGCAGATATTTAACTATCTGGTGAGTGTATGAACACAGAAATTTGAAAGCGGGTAACAAAAGATTTTATCAAGAAAATAATTCTTATCGCCATGCTACGAAATATCAACAAGTTGAATTGAAATTCAAATATGTTAACCTGTCGTTTACTTTCACAACCTTCGATTATTCGTATTTTTTAATCTTGAATCTATTTTTCATTTCAGTGATCCAAGATGTCCACGTGATGATATTTATCGGTTTTGGTTTTCTAATGACCTTCTTGAAAAAATATGGATTTTCTAGCGTCAGTTTCAATCTTTTGACTGCTTCTCTTGGTATTCAGTGGGCCATGATAATCCGAGGACTTCTCCACTCATTTGACTCCCAAACGAAAACGATTTTAATTGACTATAGCTCGTAAGTACATTGTTTTTCTGATATTATACATAGATAGTGTAACCCATTGTCAATATGTATATTATCTGATTTAATATGTAATTTATAATATATAAATAGTATACAAAAAGTGTAAATGATTAAATAATAATATAACGTGTGTTTATGACCAAGCTTTCTCCTTCTGTATTTGGATAGTAGTCATTCCCTTGTTCAAATTTTAATTTAAATCAAAGGGGAAAAAATTTTCAGTGTGGGGGTGTGCTACCCGGATACTTTCTTTTGAGTTATGTGAGCTGTTGCATATATAGAAGAATATGCAAAGTTTTTGAATCGGCCTTGTCTAGATTGGACAGTCTCTATGCAAATAACCTAACAAGGTCTTCGTATGCTTAACAGGTAGTAAAAAACCTTGCTAGATGAGTTTTTTTTTTCTGAGAATTTTTCTCTCCAGAATCTATCCTATGTATCTATCATTCGTCTATGCTTAGAACATTGCTGCCACATATGGTCCGATACTCCTGCTATTTATCTAGAAAACCTTGATAAAATCCAAAGAAAATCAGCAATATTATTGGTCCTGATATGACACATCGGCTTAAGTCACTTTCCCAGTGTCGTATGTTTGCCTCCCCGTGCTTTTTCTATAAATACTTTCACGTTAATTATTCGAATGATCTCATCGCTATGGTACCTCGACTTTTAATGAGGACAGGGCAGCACCTGCTCATATATGGCAGCAATACTCCATTCTTGGCCTGATCTGACTCTTGTAAAGATAGAGCATTGCCGCGAGAGTCAGGTATTTTCTGGAACGATTCAAGGAACTGACCATTCTTCCAGAATCGTTTGCGATGCGACGAATATTCACATTCCATTTGAGGTCGGAGTTGAGCTTTAGTCCCAGTAGGCATTCAAGCTTATTTGAGGATATCACCACTCATCAAGTTTGGCGCAGATTTAGGGCCTGCTCGGTGGGAGTCAATATTTACTTTTGAATGTATTGAATATCAGCTAGTCTTTTCCCTATTGATCTCTAAGAAACTATTTACATTATTCGGACTATTGTCTTCATCTTTGTCGCCATGTTTATTACAACGTTTCGGCCGTTTTACGCCCCGGCCTTCTTCGACCTGAACCCTTTATTTCGCTCACCGGGTTTATACTGTTCTAGTTCCACGTGCCATGTTTAATGGATGTCAGTTATCAGTTATCTCCTGTTAATTACCCTCTCCAAGTTCTCCACTGTCTTAACCGGGTATTGAAATCACACTCTTTGGGTCCTGACACTGGATCTAACCAACGCCTTTATCCACTGTGACATGTGTCCTTGACATTCCAACCACCTGAAGAAGGCCGGAGCATACAACGGCCGAAATGTTGTAATAAATATAGCGACAAAGATGACGACAATAGTCCGAATAATGTAAATAATGTACATAATACCTCATCTCAGAAATATAGACAGATACTGATCTCTGAGAGTTGAGTCAGACTAGAGATCGGCTGCCAGGCACTGATCATCAAGATATTTGATGGGACAGCCATACACTGTTGTATCATCAGCACATGTATTTACTAAATAGCGTTTTGCGGAGCAAATAATTCAAATAAGAATAACAGCTTGATAACATTATCAGTAATTATAAAAAAAAAACGATTCCTTGTGTTTACCCTGCATTCACAAATTGTTCTAAATTCCAATTCTTGCAGAATGATGACTGGGGACTTTGCTGTGGCGACATGTCTTATCTCATTTGGAGCCGTTCTGGGAAAAACCAGTCCATTACAAATCCTCGTTATGATGTTGCTAGAGATCGTCTTTGCACAGGTCAATGAATATATCGGGCTCGACAAATTATATGTAAGTAAAGAAAAAACTGTCCTTAAAAACCATGTGGATTTTTAATCTAGCTCCTGCGAAGAGATAATTGGGTCCTGGCTCAAAGCTAAACAGACCTCTGGTCCAGCTTAGAAAACAACAATAATAATTTTGAAGAAATAACTCTGAAATCCTCAATTCACTCCATGTAACTTCAAAACCTCTCTTTAACTCTGATTCGAGTCCAATTCCGGTGAAAAGACGGATTTGGGCCGAAATTCCAATTCTAGATGTTCAAGCTTCAGATAAAGGGCATATTTTGAAACCCGGGATCATTCCAAAAAGGTATATATCTATGTAGACAAGTGTGACCCGAGTTAGAGGGGTTTCTGACACAAACAGACAAACAGAATTTGCCGTTTATTTATTTAGATTTGGGTTTTTGCGATAGTCAGCAAGGTAAGCTTTAGTTCGATCTTCAACGAGTGCTCCATTATTAGGACTTTTGTGAGACTGAACTGAATTAGTAAATATTTTCGGTTACTCAAACTTGAACAATAATTATCATTTGTTCAGTTCTTACTTTCATGTGGAATGGATGGATCAAGTGTTTCAAAAATGCTCCATGTTAATCTAGTCTTAGTTAAAATTAAGGAGTCTTGAACGGCTAGAATTTTGCATTAATCTGGGCGTCCAGACAGGGCTCTATTTTTGAAGCTACTCTTTTCCATATTTTTATCAATGACCTTCATGATATTGTGAATTCCCGTCTCGGTGTCTATGCGAATGACACAATTATTTTCTCCTGTCTTAATAGTAAGTCTGGCAGGTCCAATAAAATCAAATTAGCAGCTGATTTCGAAAAAGACCTATAATCTGTTGTTAACTGGGGCAAGAAGTATTTTGTTACCTATAAAATGAAACTGATCTCTGTTAATCATCTTAAAAAACCTTTTTGCTTTTCGTCAGTATGACTGATGATAACCTCCAGGAGAGAAAATCGCTGCCCCTTTTTGATCACAGAATTTCCACTGACAATAAATGGAATAATTATATTGAATCAACTGCTAGGTCTGGTCCTAAGAAAATCGGTTCACTATTTCGTGCTAGACAATTCTTCTGACCAGAATCTATCTTCTCTATTTTAAGTCTACTATTCGTTTATGTATCGAATATTTCTGCAACATCTTGGCTGGTGCTTCTACAATGTGTCGAGAGATTCCTTACAAAATCCAAAGAAGAATCATGAACTTTATGTTATCTCGGCTCCAGTCATTTTCACACTGTCATAACGTTGCTTCCTTTAGACTGTTCTATAAATATTTTCATACTTACGGTTATGATAAGCTTTCCAGGTAATATCTCGACTTCGCAAAATTAAGCCCAGTACTGGGCCGTCTGTTAAGTCTCATAATTGCACTCTTAAAATTACGAGTTGTAACCAAAAGTTATATGCTAATCGTTTAACACCACGCTTTTTGCTTGTAGAATTCTCTCCGGATCCCTGTTTTTTATGTCAACTAAGATCTTCAAAAATTTAAATTCAGTGCAAATCGTCATATTTCCTTGAACTGTGTTCTTTTATTGTCCTCTCTTTTTTTTTTCACTTTAAGTAACTCCGTGCATCTTAGTGGCTTTTAATGTCTTCTTTGGTAGGACAATTACAAAAAAAAAAAAATGAAATTATCCAATTTCTATTTCGCACAAATACTCTTGGAAAGATATGAATTAATCTCTTCTCACCCTCCACCTCCTGTTGGGGGTTCATAGCAGGGCTCTCCAGTTTTGGATGGTAAACAATCTGGGAGAAGGATAACTTTGAATTCAAAACAGATTACATATGCTGCTAGCAAATCCACTCCGTAAATACCTACCTGCATGTAGATCACCACAGCAACACGGAGCGTCGTAAGGATGTGGCATTATAATCTAACATAATAGTGTACAGAGTTAACAAGGACAATATTCAACCAAACGCTTCGCAAATAACACCGCAAAAGCTCAATGTATTCCAAAGCACACCTCATTTTCTCGACATGATAACCATTTTTCAAACACTATCATTTTGATCCAAAGAAGTAAAACATCCTTTAAGTTTTATTTATTTATTTTTGATTCAGATTCCTATGAATTATAATGTTTTAAAAAGGGTTTGTTTCTCGTTAGAAAAGATAAGTCGCCTAAAATGGCTCATGTTTGGTTTGATAAGGCTTTTCGCTAATAAATTTCCTGACTATTAATATAAAGCACTTTTCCTGAACACCATTATAGAAAGAACTTTTAACTACAAGAACTCTTGCCCTTGATGAACATTTGTTACCTACTTTTACAGGCTGTCGATATTGGTGAATCCATGTATCTTCATACATTTGGCGCCTATTTTGGTCTGGCTGTAGCTCGAGTTCTGCACAAAGAAGATATTGAAGACAACCCCAAAGAAGGCAGTGTCTACAATTCAGATCTTTTTGCAATGGTTGGTGAGTAAATCTTTTTCCGTGTTGTTTGGCCTCTTTACAATTTCAAGTCGAAAAAAATGGAACGATTCCAAGTTAATTAAATGAATCAAAACGCACGAAAAATACAGTTAGTTGCAATTATTATTATTATTATTATTATTATTATTATTATTTCCCTAGACTTCTGTTGAATATTCATTTCCTTCCGGGTCCTAACCAAAGAACTAAGCGCTGAAATTGCATCATCATATGTTCACTGAACATTTTTGTAAAAGATAAAATAAAAATAAACAACCTAAAGGCACACATAGATTTTACATTAATAAAGCCCATTGTAATGGATGAAGTGTACTTGTGAAAACAATGTTTTGTATTTCTTTAAGGCTGGGGCTACCAGGAAACCTTTCAATCAGTCTATCGAAACCTTTTCCAATAAAACCGAGGGTTCCAACCACAAGTGTAATTATTGATGTCTTCACGTGCCACATTGTTTAGATTTCCACTTCAAGTTTCTTGTATTTTGATATTTTTTGAAGGTGTTCAAAGATACATTACATTTTTGAAGATGTTCAAAGATACATTACATTTTGAAGATGTTCAAAGATACATTACATTTTGAAGATGTTCAAAGATACATTATATTTTTGAAGATGTTCAAAGATACATTGTCATGTCAATAAGAAAGCATATTCTGTTTTCGTCGTCTTTGGCCACGATGTCTCGACGATTAGATTTGATTGTTCTGTTTGTGTATTTTAAAGTCCGATAAAATTGTTCCTATGTCCCTAACGGGGTCTGAGTGGTGTTCATACTAATTTCTTGCAATTATCTTCCAGTAAAAGTTGCATATTTTCCAGCGCAGATATTGGCCAACTCTCTCATGCCGTATTTTATATACAGTGGATGCTAATAACGTGCAGCCTGATACAAGATAGTCAATTGCTTCTGGATATTGATCATATAGTCTGCATTTCGGCTTAATACAATTTTTAGTATGTTTCCTTGGTAATTTTTAATTAGCAAGCATTGGTCCTGTGCAGCAAAAATAAAACCTTTACTTTCAGCTTTTAATCCATCTCTGCGCAACCATTGAAGTGTATACGATTTGTCTACACCAGTCTTTTTGACACGGGCAGAATATTGACTAGAAACAGATTAATCTTGCTATTGCTTCTATATTTGGTCCATTAGTAGTAGTAGTAGTAGTATTTGATTTGTTATCCTCTCCGACTAACCGGGCGAAAATGCTTATATCCCAGTTCCTCTCAGCAGTTTAGGGAGAAAACACCACTTACCTCAGTACATCAGCTGCTCCAAGCAGTGCTGCCACCTTGGTATTCCTAAAGATCTTGCGAGGAATAAAGATTACCGGGAATAACTATTTTTATTATTGTTTGAGTATGTAATGTTTCCTGCTTTGTATCCTGTAAGGCCGGGCCTAAACTAAGGTCCTTAATCCGTATAGGAGAATTGTCAATTAATTGATAGCACTTTTCTTAGTATTGGGATGATCCTAGTAGTGCGATCTTCTGAGCATCTTTGTATGTTGATCTTACCTGGGATACTGTTAGTAAAAGTGTCCATTTCTTTTCTAACGAGGCCCAGAACTCTGATTACTACTGGTACAGTCTCAGTCTTCATTCCCTATATCCTGTTAATCTCGATCTCGTTGTCCTTATATTTGGACAATTTCTCAATATTGTTTATGAAGGTGTTTCTCTCAGATGGTACTGCTATGTCAATAAGCATACACTTCCTGAATTTATTGTCTTTTATGATAATATCAGGTGTGTTGGCTTTTATTTCCCTATTTGTTTGAATTGGCATATCCCAGAGGATAGTCACACTGTTATTTTGTGTAACTGTGTCTGGTTGGTGGTCATAATATCTCTCAGTGGTTTCGATTTTGTACTTCTTGCATATCGTCCAGTGCACATATGTCACCACCTTGTTATTTCTGTGGGTATATTTTTTTTTTTTTTTTTGCCAGTTCGGATATCCTGAAATAATATGGTCGACAGTTTCATCATATTTTCCGCACATCCTGCATTTCGGATTAGTTCCGTCCTTGATTATGTGATAGTGATAGGATCTGGTTGAGATACTTTGGTCCTGAGCTGCAATAATAATAATAATAAAATATTGTGTCAGCCCAAAATGCAGATTCTGTGATAAATATCCAGAAACGATTGATCATCTTGTATCAGGTTGTACGGTGTTGGCACCCACTGAATATAAAACCCGACATGACAGAGTGGGCCAATATCTGCACTGGAAAATATACAACTTCTACGGAAGAAAACTGAAAAGAAACTGGTATGAACACCACCCAGACCCGGTTACGGAGATAGGGACCTGTTACAATTCTATGGGACTACACAACACACTGACAGAACAATCAAGGCGAACCGGCCAGATATTGTTATTAAAGACCACAAACAAAAGCGTTGCCTCCTTATTGATATCGCAGTCCCTGCTGACTGCAATGTATCTTTGAAGATATTCAAAAAGTTGTCAAAGTACAAGGACCTTGAAATAGAAATCTCGAAAATGTGGCATATGGGAACATCAACAATCCTGTTGTAGTTGGAGCCCTAGGACTGGTTGGAAAAGATTGCAGTAGACTAATTGAAGGGATTCCTGGAAGTCCATGCCTCAAGGAGATACAAAAAATTGTTCTGACAAGTACAGCCCACACCTTACGAAGGGCTTTATCTATGTAATTTAATTTTTTTTTTTTTTTGTCAGTGGAAAGTGTCATGACGCCATTTCTAACCGTAGGTCCCTGGCCGGGACCCGGAAAGAAATGTGTAAACGCCAGAAATCAAAGAAAATTATTATTATTATTATTTTCAGTTTCAAACCTTTCCTAGGTTTGCCAGTCGTAATTCCGGTGTTTTTGATATGGTTCACTTGTTATTTTGGACAGAATTCTAACCATTATATCTTCATCAACTCTCGAGCAAAGTCCTGATATTTTTTGTTTCCCACTCTCCTTCGGGCTTACTCTACATCTTTTTTGTCATTATTCAAAATTATCATATCCTGGTTTCCTAACTGGATGAAGAGGTTAGTTTGGGTGTTTTAGATTTCTAGGACAGTCTCTGGTTTTTACTGATGCCATTCGTGAACATTCTCGAACTCAATTTTCTTGCAAAGTTCCAAGTTTTTGACTGATGCTGGGGTATTTTCATTTATTTAAAACATTTTTCGGAATATACTATTCGTTCCTCAGGTTTTTAGATATGTTCCGGGTGTGCAAAATATTATGGTCACTACTCAATCATTTATGTTTCCTTTTCTATGTCCTCGTTTATTTTCTATTTCAAATAGATACTTTCTTTTAATATTTTTTAATCATCATCATTGTCAGTAATATCATCATCATCATATTATTATTATTAGTAGTAGTAGTAGTAATTAATTTTCCCGTCATTTTCTATTTCAAATATATATATATATATTCCTGTAATATTTCTTCTTCTTTTTCTTCTTCTTCTTCGGTTTCATCATCATCATCATCATCATCATATTATTATTATTATTATTATTATTATTATTATTTAATGCATCCAAAATCCTTCTCACTATTCTTACTGACCCCAGCAACACAGCGATCAATGCAGTTTCAAGCCTTCTGCAGCTTTCCAAATTATTCAAAGGTCGTTCTCAGACATGTATTGTTATTATATCTCCACATTGTCAACCTAACGCGTTTGCACAGTTCCCAGTCTATGCTTGTTCTCATCTTCTCGTTCATTCTTTTATGTCCTTTTAGTGACAACTTTTTACATTTGCTGTTTATAGAGTTTTCTCCTCAGAGGAGACATTTGCTGTTGTTTCTGTGTTTTAATGCAGTTTTATTATTATTATTATTATTATCATTTTTATTAATTCGCTAATAGGTACAGTGTTTTTGTGGATATTCTGGCCAAGTTTCAACAGTGCCGGAGCAGCAACGGCCGAAGCCCAGCAGAGAGCAGTCCTGAACACACTTCTCTCTCTCTGTGCCTGCACAACGATGGTGTTTACTTTTTCAACTTTGTTCGACAAAAAAGGAAAATTAGACATGGTGAGGAAACATTTATTTTATTATTATATATATTTTAACTTATCTATATATATATATATATATATATATATATATATATATATATATATATATATATATAGGTATACCAATATACCTATATATAGGTAGACATTGAGCTATATATATATGTCTACCTATATATAACTAGACATTGAGCTATATATATATATATATATATATATTTCAATGTCTATATATATATATATAGTAGACATTGAAATAAGCGCCTAACGGCGAGAGTCTGTTTCATGTTTAAACGCAATCTTCAGGTCACGTGTCTAAGCATAAAATAGACTGTCACCGCTGGAAGTTGATCTCAACGTGCACTTTTATATTTACATAGCTATACTATTACATAAGATGATACTGAGCAATATATTATACCTTATATATATATATATACACATTTATTTATTTCCTGTTTATTCGTTATTTATGGATACACTTATTTGAGTAAATGCTCTATTTTCTAATTAAACAGTGTTAATTATATTTCCCGGCCTTAATATTCGAGAAATTTCGCTGAAAATATACGTCTTCCGACAGGAATCGAACCTGTATACTATATGGAAACATTAAATCTGACGTGCTATGACCGTTCATCCAAAGAGAACTTCCGGTTAGCAAAACTCGAAGTGGTGCTTTTGAAACGCACCTTTGCCGATTTTTTCAATCTATCATATCTGCTCTAAAATTGTAGTTTATCGTAAACAATGACAACATACATGAAATGGATTAAATCCGACGAATATTTTAATATATTTTCTGTTCATACAATATTAATTACACTTACTGCTTGAAAATATGCGTCCTCCGAGAGGAATCGAACCTGAATACTATACGGAACCATCTTTAAGGCTGACGTGCCTTCTCTGATCTTACAACAGTTTTCAGCTGAATTGTTCATTCCATCAGATTAAATTAATGCAAAAATTTTCATTTTATTTATAAATATTTATTGCGTCATTATTCAGTCATTTCAGTTAAAATGTATATTACATTAGAATCTGATTTTATTATTTATTCGATAAATACGTTTTGATATTTTGAACTTGTTGAAACTGTTTCTCAGTCAATGTTTATTGCATAAATTGAAACAAGTCATATGCTGAAGACAACAAGTTTGTAAAAAATCTCACATACAGAAATTCTTCCCAAGCTAAATCCAATGTCCATAAAATTTGACAATGACTTTGAATCACAGGCAAATAATTAGTTGACTTCCTTGTCCAGGAAAAGTAGATATTTTCTATTCGCTTTTCAAACGGGCCGATTGCTCAATAACAGATTCTCAAAATTCCAACTGATCATTATAAAAATGATAAACGGGGGAGACACATGAAAATTACTTTCTACACTAACAAATTGTCATCTTCATGGCGCAATTTTCCTATACATAGGCAAACATTAAGACGAAATATGTGTAGACCGAAAGATTTTTCTTTTAAATTATGCTATTTATTAACAGTTGAATATATGATTTACAGTGCGCGCTGTCGCGACGCTAAAGTTCTTGTTCAAATCGAGCAAGTGAGAATTTTGTTTAAAGTTTGAAAATCTATAAATCCACGAAATTTTTCTGGTTATATGTATTTATCTGTTAAAGTGAAATTGATTTAGTATAATCCAGTTGGTAGAGTAAAAATGTATCAGTAGTTTTCCACAGAATTTAAGATTCTGATTATTTGTGTACGGGAAGCCCTAAGGATGACAATTTGAAATTGTCGAAAGTACTTGTCATGTGTCTTGGGTCTGACAAAATCTCGAATATAAGGATCTTATAATTCAAGGAATTAATAGTAAGTTAATGCCACATTAAATCTTATTAGCGAAGTGATTTCGCAATTTTTCACATTAACATTGCTATTTAATTCTTTCTATGAATTGTTTCTTTATGATATATATAAGATGCACTCTATTATATATATATATATATATATATATATATATATATATATATATATATATATGCGTGTATGTGTGTGTGTTTGTAACCAGTGAATGTCTAGTCTTTTATTTGTCTTGTCTATATCTTCCAAATTATTTCCAGGTTCACATTCAAAAAATTCGACAATCGCTGGAGGTGTGGCTGTTGGCGCATGCGCTGATACTTTGACAGCCCCATGGGTATCACTGCTCGTGGGAAGTTTGGTTGGAATACTTTCTGTGGCTGGTTTCAAATATCTTTCTGTAAGTTAATAAATTAAAAATATCTCTACTAATTCATTAATATACACACACCACACACACGCATGCGCTCACACACACACACACACACACACACACACACACACACACACACACACACACACACACACACACACACACACACACACATATCGTTAAAATCTTTCTGTTTTTATTAAGAGGAAAGACCAAAGGATTTTTTTTTATTAAATTTTTATTTTGGTATCATTTTTAGAGCCTTCGAAATCTTGGTTAAAATGTTGTTTTAATTCCGTCAACAGTTGACCATAAATGACTATGTCGCCTTTGAACGTCTTTTTGTGTTGAAAAACATTGCTTTTGAAATTTGGGGAAATATCAGATAATTATCGAATTTTAATGAAGCATACAGGACTTGAAAATGAGTGAAATTATTTTCGAGGCATTTCTTTTTTTAGGAAATCTTGTTAAAAGTATTGTTATTACATCTGTTACCCCACCACACACTTATCTAATTTTAGGAAATTTCGATAAATTCATTTCTGTAGAACTTAATTTAATGTTTGTATTAGTTATAAAGACACGTCTTTAGAGGATTTAAATCATGAATATTTTTTAGTTAAACAGAACCTGCAGTAAATCTGCTCTGAAACATAAAATGCACTAAAACTAAGACATTATTTAATTAGAAAAGATTTTAATTGCTTTTATGAATAAAATATTTTATGAACATTTCCTCAACAAGCGTATATCTAAGTTAGATACTTATGACAAAGTAGGTAAAATTCTGATAAAATATTAGATTGCTTAGAATATTTTTTTGTTTTTTAGAATTCCTGGGTAGTATATATATATATATATATATATATATATATATATATATATATATATATATATATATATAAAAAATTTGGGTAGTATATATATATATATATATATATATATATATATATATATATATATATATATATAAATATATATATATATATATATATATATATATATATATATATATATATATTATATATATATCAAATAAAAGTTTACGTTGTAACCATAATGCCCCTTAGAAAAAATTCCCAAACATAAATCTACCGAGAGAGATGTCAAAACACTCACCTCCGTGTTAAAAATACTTTTCTGCGATATTTTAAACTAACAGTAAGTAATATTTGTTTTAAATCAGATTAAACTTTAAATCAGCTAATCTTCCTAATTTAAAGTTTCAAAAATATATTTTATTTTTGAAAAATTATTTTAATAAATAGAATTACGTTGTTTTGACATTTTATCAATATAGATGCTTTTATCGTTTTTACTGATAATAAAAAACACATTAAAATGAATTTAATTTCAGTTTGACATACACAAAGTATTTTGCCTATTAGAAATATTAAATTTAATTTATTAGCTTGAAATTAAAACTCAACTAAAATCTTTAAGAAATGCATTTTAAACTTTAGATATCGCTTTTTTCTCAGGTACCGATAAATAGATTTTTAAATTTAACTATTTATTCATCATTGGCGGCCACAATCTTAACAACATAAGATATGCAGATGTCACAGTTCTGATAGCTGACACGGGAGTGAAATTACAAAAATTCCTACAGAAGTTAGCGAAGGAAAGCGACAAGAAAGGATTAAGAATAAACTATAAGAAGACATAATGCATGGATATCAGGAAAACATGAGCCCACAGTGTAATTTATAGGCCGGGAATACTAAAATCAAACAGCTACAGAATTTAAATATCTGGGAAGTATTCTAACAGAGGACAGAAAGTGCGACACTGAGATCCAAAGACGTATTGGAATAGCTAAAGATGCCTTCCAAAAGCTAAGTAGAATATTACGAGGGAGGAAATTTTAGCTGGAAACAAAGAAAAGAGTACTGAACTGTTACGTTATATTTGTCCCCCTGTATGGCAGCGAATGCGGGACAATCATCTCAAAGGTGAAGAAGAAACTCCAAACAACAGAGATGTGGTTTTACAGGACCGAACACGTGAGCAACGACGCTATTTTGGAGAGGATTGAGGAAACTTATACTTAACATCAGGATGATGTCGCTGAAATTTCTTGGACACATAATGAGGAAGGAGAGCTTGGAAAATCTGATACTCACAGAACGGATAGAGGGAAAGAGGATCAGCGGAAAGCAACGCATGACATACTTAATTGGGCTTGAGCAAATAGATAGCAGAACATGGTTTGGGAGAAATAACAAAAAAGACAAAACTTATTAATAGTTACAAGAAACAGGAGGAGGTGGAGAGCCATGATCGCCTACTTCCTAAAGGGACAAAGCACATATAAGAAGAAAAGAAAATTTATCATGAATAAAGTTACCTCGTGTTGAAACAAGCATTAATTTTCTAAAATGAATATTTCTTTTACAACATAATATAATTTATTGTCAATGCACTTAATTCTGTAGTGTATCTATCAGCACATTAGAAACTTTATTTTCCAATACAAATGCTTTTAGCAAAATGTCCTTCCATTTTAATGTACTTAATTCAGTGGTGTATATCAGTTTCATATATCGCTCATTATACAGTGAAAGTTACAGATCAAAATTCTGCAAACTTATTGATCTATACTTAAATTTAATTATCTACGAATGTATTCACAACTGGTTTCTAACACCATTTTCAGATTCCTCCGATCAAACTTCCTACTCAAATCACTTGGCCCTGTGCCAGCCAAAGTTGAACTTTTATAGGTTGACATATATATATATATATATATATATATATATATATATATATATATATATAATTATTTAATTAAAATAACAATTCCATCGCTACATAAGAGTTCTCATGATGCAAGAACAAGAGCCGAAAATTTCAATATAATTATTTGAATTAAATTAAATTCAAATAATTATATTGAAGTTTTCAACTCTTGTTTTGAAACATGAGAACTCTTATAAGCGATGAATCATATTTTTAAATAATTATATTTAAACTCTACTTTTGTGTCGAGCACAGTTTTTTTTTAAATAATAAAAAAAATACTAAAGAACTTTGGATTATTTACCTAACAAGTTCTTTCCTATTTTCTATATATTCACACACACACACACATTATATATATATATATATATATATATATATATATATATATATATATATGTGTGTGTGTGTGTATTATAATAGGAGAAATACATAATTACCGCATCACAATAGCTATTTCAACCAAACGTTATACTACGTTGGCATTCTTCGACTCGGATAGTGTGTAGAAAAAATCGGAAAATTAGGAGCGAATGGAAACAACGACTTTACACACTTAGGCACACTTTTTCCAACCCAAAATTAAAATACCAAACTGCTCTTTTCACAAGATTTTGGCAATGGAGAATGAAAGATCTGAATCCTCAGATTGACTGGAAAATTATGGGTTTTGCTCATACTCCTAATAATTTTAAGAGTAGTTGTAATCTATGTTTAAAAGAGAATATTTGAATAATAAAATTCACTAATCAAAGCATATTACTAAACCAAAGGAATGTCATCGCAGGTGTACGTTTAAACTTATCTAATATTTAATATATTATTGATCCTACTTAATTTTTTCACTTCTAACCCATCTATTATTATACCTTTTACTATAGTTATTTCTACATCTTATATTCTCCATTTCAATTCTATCTGATAACCTTCCATTACTATACTAACTCCCTTTTTTGGGTTTATCGTTTTAATTTTTCATTTTTTAACTTTTTATTTTATTATTTTAAATTTAATTTTCAAAAGATTTTTAAAGGTTTTTGGGGTGTTTTTCCTGTATATGGTCGGTAATTGTTTTTTCTTTAAAATTGTATATGTTAAATTTTTTTTATATTTTTTCTTTATTGTGATTTTTTCATTATTTTTTACCATGGTTATTTTTCATCATAATTTGTTCTTCAATTCCTTTATCATCTTTTTCTTTATTATTTATTTATTTTTATTATTCTGCTATTTATTTATTTAGTTATTTTTTTAAATTATTCTTATTATTATATCTTACGGTTTTATACACATACGTATTTTTTTTAATTTTTTAAAACGTCTTCATAAATTTTAATATTTTATATGTTATTTTTTCTTTATATAAAGTAATCAAGATTTGTTCATCTTGCTAGCATATTTTTGGTAATTTTTAAAAGGATAAATTTTTTTTTTTCATAACTATTAATTTATTATTTTTCTTTTTTTTATAGCTTGATTTCAGTGTATTTAACATTGTGATATAATTTTACTCTGACTTTGGGTGTTAAAATTTAAAATTTAGGTCAAGGTTGTATTAATCGTTTCCACTTAAGCCATACAATATCCGCCTCTACGGGTAGTTGGGTCAACTTAATATCTGTGGCTTCAAAAGCAGCCTCCCCTTTCTTGTTTTCTTTGCTGTTTTCTTCTTTTTCCATTTCCTTTTTTTTTTTTCGTTTTTAAATGTTTAATTTTTAAATTTCCGATTTTTTCTACACATTGAGTCGAAGAATGCCAACGTAGTAAAGTTTGGTTTAAATAGCTTATTCTGGTGAGGTAATTTTGAATTTCTATATTATGTAATTTATTTGTTCTGTTATTATAAATACATTTAGCTCTTTTTGGGGATCAGTTTTAATATTTTATATTATTAAGATTCACTTGATTATATACCAACGGATTATTACCTGTATATATATATATATATATATATATATATATACCAATGGATTATTACCTTATATATGTATATATATATATATATATATATATATATATATATATATATATACTGGTAATAATCTGTTGGTGTACAATCCATTGGTACAAATCCGTTGGTCTATAATCCATTGGATATATATATATATATATATATATATATATATATACCAGTGGATTATTACAATATATATATATATATATATATATATATATATATATATATAATCCGTTGGTGTATAATCCATTGGTAATAATCCGCTGGTATATATATATATATATATATATATATATATAGGTAATAATCGTTGGTATATAATCAAGTGAATCATAATAATATATATATATTCAATTGCATGGATAGTGGTTGGTAACCCCGAGTTTCACGCTTTTGCGATCATCGGACAAACTGTTTTATGCTTTCAAAAGTGGATCTGTTTATACCTATTTGTGTTTGATTATTTGTGTGGTGTGGAGGGGGGAGAATTTTCTTCTGTGTTTATTCGGGATGCCACTCACACATACATACAGGTGGATGCATATAAATAATCTGAGGTTAGGCACAGTTACACATCCATACGTTCGAGCAAACACATATACGCAATTGTCATTCTTTTTCGGTGTCGAGACTATAGCGTTATATATATAGCAATGTTCTCTTAACAGGGAATGGGTGGTGTGGTCTTGACGTTTTTTCAGATCGGCCGTCAGACATGCACACATTCGCTCACATATATGTAGACGCGTACCCACACCCATTGATCTGGGTCCACTAACACCACGCTGGTTTAGTTGGGTTCTGTCTGTGGACATGATGATGACGATGTTTGTAAAGGTTGTTTCATTAAGAAGGATCAAAGTCAGCAGTAAATAAATCAGTGTTATTGGTGAAAATTTATTTCTCTATTGGATCATGTTATTTAAGTCATGGCAATTATGAGTGAAAATAATATCGTCCAAATGTCCGTCAAGGCTTCGGCGGCACACCTCCACTCGAGGGTCAAAAGTTTTGATGACGTCTCTGCAGAGTTGCTCCTCGATCTCACCAATATGCCTTATTATCTGATCCTTCAGCTGTTGAATTGTTGTTGGCTTGTTGGCATAGACCTTACTTTTGAGATGACCCCAAAGGAAGAAATCTAAAGGCGTCAAGTCGCACGATCGTGTTGGCCAATTGACTTTGCTATTTCGAGAGGGGATGCGACCGGGGAATTTCTCTTTGCATTTCTGTTTGAACGTACATTTTCGTAATAGGCTTCGATAACTTTAAAACGTTGTTTAATTGTTAATCTTTCTATGGTTGAAATTGACAAAACCTTAAATTGTTACCTCTGAAAGAAAAAGAAGAAAATCATTAGACGCTTAAACTCAGTCCAATTTATTGGAACACCCTATACTACCTTTTGATCCTCTGTTTACTCATTAAAAGAAACCCTTCCACAAAGATAGGATGCAACAAAAGGTCATTTTGATGTCGAGTGCTGTTAATACAAGCCAGGGATAATACCTACGACCACTGTCACAATGGTGTCAGTATTCACCCCTCCCTCTATCTTTACATTAACGAGACAGGTGCTGTTACGTGTTTAAAAGCCCGGAACCAGCATACCTCATAGTTTAAAGTGGGAACAGATATTAAACGTTGATACTATCATTGGGCCCTATATTTATAAATTTGAACGTCCATTTTCGTAATAAGCTTCGATAACTTGAGCACGTTGTTTGATTGTTAATCTTTCCATGGTTGAAATTGCCAAAATTGTTAAATCTGAAAGAAAAAGAAAAATCATTAGACGCTTAAATTTAATTCACATTTAAAATCGGTGCAAGTTATTTTTAGCAACGATAACTGATGGTTTTTTATTATTATTATTAAGGCTTGTGATTATATTAATGTTAAAACTGATATTATTATTGATATGTAAATAATAACTAATCTGTTACTGGTTATGATAAACAGTGAAGTTAGCCTTAATGATTATGGAAATAATAATCATAATAATGACAATAAAAGCGGTATAAAAAATAATGACAATAATGACAATGGTAATCATGATAATAGTTGTGGTCACTATAATAATGATGAGGAT